CACCCGCAGCGCTAGCATTCCCATATGGGCGCTGGTTTGAGTCCTGGGTGTTCCACTTCTGATCCAGTTCCCTGCTATGCTAATGTGACTGGGAAGGCAGCAGAAGATGACCCAAATCTTTGGGTCCCTGTACCCAAGTGGGAGACCTGCAGAAGCTCCTGGCTCCTGGCTTTGGACCAGCCCAACTCCAGCTGTTACGGCCATTTGGGAAGTGAGCCAGTGGATGGAAGATCTGTCTCTCCTCTCTCTGTAACTCTAACTTACAAGTAAATAAGTAAATATATTTTTTTAAAAAAGCTCTTTCATGTAGATCAGATTCCCAGACCTTTAAAGTTGCAAGGAACACTATCTAAGCACTAGTTTCCAAACTCTACTCCACAAGGCGATCAGCCTTCAGAATGCCTTTAGTCTTTATACTAAGTTGAAGATTAGCTACGTGCCCTTTACAAAACCTTTATTTTTTGATGAACTCATTTAATTGTTCATATTTTTTATGTATTCTCCTAAATGAGAACAGAGGGGGCACTCTGACAGTACCTTGACTATGAAAAAACATAATAAATTAATCAAAGGATGCTCTTTCAGAAATGTCTTTGGGTATGTTAAGCCTAGTCTGTTCCTGTTCATAATGGTGATTAATGGCCAAATGTTTCATTTGCAAATGCACTGCCATCTCTCATCCCATATCCCTAGATGGGAACAAAGTACATTTTGGAAGAGACTCAGTACTGCAGAGGACTTAACTGTCTGTAGTGCTGAACCCCTGTCACCATTCTGAGAGGCCAAGCTTCTACACCAGGTAGAAGCTTAGCTAAATGGGGATTAATCCTAGAGCTCAAAAATGACCAGAAACCAAGGTAGGAAGAAATCCCTGATGGGGAACAGCTGGTGGGTCTAGACTTGCTTTGAATTAGGGAAGTCATATGCATCTAAGACAAGGAACGGTCAGAGATCACAAAACAAACCCTCCCCACTCCCATCACTGAAAGACATCTAAGTGAGCCAAGGGAGATGTTTCTCCCAGTCACCAAAATTCCTGCAAAGGAGATTCAATAACAGGTGTCTTCTTACATTTTTCAGTATCATCCCCAAAATGACAGTTTCTAACCCTGTGTTTTTTTTTTTTTTTTTTTTTTTTTTTTTTAATTTGAAAAGCAGAGTTACAGAGAGAGAGCGTTCATCTACTGGTTTGCTTCCCAAATGACCACAACAGCTGGGGCTGTGCCAGGCTGAAGCCAGGAGCCTAGAGCTTCATCCTGATCTCCCACATGGGTGGCAGAGGTTTAAGCACTTGGGTCATCTTCCACATTTTTCCCGGGGCATTAGCAGGTAGCTGCACCAGAAGTGGAGCAGCTGGGTCTCCAATTGATGCCTGCATGGGGTGCCGGAGTCACAGGCTGAGGCTTAACCTGCTATGTATGTCACAATGCCGACCCTTCCTTCCAAACAATGGAAAGTTCTTTTTGGTTACCCTTAATTGGTTCTGTGCTACTTAGCTCAGAAAGTAATGCATGAAGCTAAATTAAATCCATAAGTCTAGGGCCAGAATTGTGGCACAGCTGGTTAAGCTGCTGCTCACGATGCCAGCATCCCATATTGGAGCACCAGCCTATATCCTGGCTACTCAACTTCTGATTCAGCTCCCTGCTAATGCACCTGAAAAGGCAGTGGCTGTTGTGGCCATTTAGAGTGTACCAGCATCTGGAAAAACTAACTCACTCTCTCTCTCTCTCTCTCTCTCTCTCTCTGTTACTCTACCTTTCCTATAAATAAATCCTAAAAAAAAAAAAAAAGAATTTCATGAATTGACCACCTTTGAAAGCAATTTGAAATATACTGTCTCATTTGATTTTTCTCTTTTCAACAGCCCCATGGGAGAAATGCAATAAATGTAATCCTCAAATGACACACTACACAAAAATGTGAACTGTGAAGTATTTTACACAAATGAGCTACTACTGCTTTACACATAAGGAAGCCAGAGGAGGCATGTGACTTACCCAAGGCCACATAGTTAAAGGAATGCCAGGGCTCAAACCAAGAATTCTTGGATTCTCTGTCTAGTTTGGTCTTCACATAAGAGAACTTAGCACAGACAGAAACTGTTTGGTAAATGCAAACTCCTAACCCATATGGCCATCTCAAAAAGATCTGGAGTGGGGAATGAGGCAAATGGATATAGATGGCTTAGCAAAATTCGTTACCACTCCTGTAAAAATAACTCCGCATCATTATCTGTTTGAAGTACCAAATACCTTTTTAGAAATCCTTAAAAAGAATATATATCAAGAGCAATAAGTTGTCCTTGGAAAAAAATGGAAAGGGATGTGGACAGCTACACTTTAGCTCATCTTTCAGTAACAACTGGTTAACACTGAGAGATAAAGATGAGCTGCAAATACTTCATGCTTTCTATGGACCCTAGAGCCACTCCCCAACAGGGGGAGTGGGGTAAAACAGTGCTAACTACATGTTCCAAAGCCTACATTAAGCCACAATCTCTCCTGACACACGGTCCTCCAACATGTCACTCTCCTGGAAAAAAAAGCACCTAGGAATTTTCTCCAACTGACCTTATTTTTAACTACATTCAACATTAACATGAACGTTGAAACAATCTAAAATCCAAGTATTTATGCTTGCTGATGCATTCATTCATTCCAACATGCAATTCTCAAGTATTTCTTGAGCGCTTCGCACATAGAATATAACACAAGCAAACCACAGTTCCTGCTTTCATGGAGTTTACAAACTAGTGCTGCTTTCAAGTGGTCTTTGGGAGTCAAGTTTCCTAGTTCCCTTAATAGACTTGTGTGCTCTCTGTGAGCAAGAGCTGTGCACTTTAATTTTCCAAAAACATTTACGTACCTTACACCAGAATCTTCACACAGCCAACTGCTAAACTAAGAGAGAATCCTTGACCCCATGCGCGGCTGCATTTCCTTCCATTCGGCCCCTCCAGCACAGGGTAAGACAACACATTATATAAAATCCACAGTCTTGAGCTCAGGATGCCAAAAGGTTCATCAGAATGAGTGTGCAGCTAAGGGAGCGAGATCCGGTGCAGCTGGCTGGACAGAGCTGGAAGGGATCTGGGTCCCAGAAGTGACCCTCTTCATGGGGAAGAGATTGAGGCAGGGGTCAAGGTGAGGGACGCTGCATTGTAAAACAGTGCCTCAACTATAGAAATGAGCCCCACGACCGTTAAACACAAAGGCAAAGGAATGGCTTGATTGCTGAAGAACGTCTTCCCCTCCTGCCAGGCAGGGCAAAACCGTGCCCCTCACCTCCACAGGACCAGTACACGCACCCAGTTAGACAGGGTGGGGCAACGAAAAGAGCCACGGACTCAGAATCAACACATTGGATCTGGAGTCTGCCTCCAGTCAGGCGGACATCACTGGGCGGGCAAGCCATGGTTGCCCCTTATGTAAAACAGGACCAGCCTCTGAGGTGTCTATCTCACAGAAAGACTGCAAGGAAGAGGCGATGTATAAAACCACCCAGGACACCACAGCAAGCATGCAAGTTCCAGAGATCAGCATCTGCGAGGAGGGCATCTCTCCTCAACCCAGGTAAACCATTTCAACTCCTTGCCTTTCCTTGTCTCCGTTCTCCCCTTCCAAGGGCCAAACTGCAGAGAAGCTAACAGAAAAGGAGCCGGGGGCACTGGGAACCAGCCACAGATCCTTTGTGGAGGGGTCTGCCTTCTCTCTTCCACTGCCAAGTCAGTTCCCCATCTGGGGACTGCTGAACTCATCTAAACGGGACTCTGAGGCGATACAGAGATTAGTGTTGGGGAGAGAGAGAGATTACATGCAATTTAGGCCACATTCCACAGCCAAACGGAAATTATTATTAGCGTGGATAACCAAAGGTTAACTGGACAGGGGAGAACAACTGCTCCCTGAAATGGTCTTCCCTATCTCGCCAACAATATTTTTTCCAGGCCCAGTTCTTTCTTTTGCTTCTTCAGTCCTCTAACTCCTGATCTATCCTGTTAGGATATATGCAACACCCACAAAACACACCCCTTCAGGGTTCTCAGGGAGGGGAGGGCCAGAAGCAGTAAGGGGCTGGAGGGGGGAAAGGCAGACACCCTACAAAGTTGCTTCAATTCTTTGAAGGGGAGAATTATAATCATACTGTAATGTTACCAGAGGTCAGACTCCTGGGTGGGGTGGGGGGGCGTCATGTGCCCAGACTACGAGGGCCAGTGCCTCTGCCCATCAGGTCCAAGAGCCCAAAACAACTCCTTCCGGCTCTCGGCAGAGGGAGGGTCCATTTTGCAGAGTCAAGCTTATTAAAAACGGCTTGCAAGATTAAACCTAGAGCATCGGCCAGTTGGCAGTTCTCAATTTAAACCCCAAGCTTGGAGGAGAGGAAATTCTAAAGTGACCTAAGCATTGCAGGGCCAAATGAGCTACTGGTTATGAATCCAGACCTATGCGTGCAAAGGGTGTTTCTGTCCTGTCTGTTAAGCCAAGAACATGCTCCCCACTCTAGACATGGGATCCACCCCACCATTCCATAACAACCAGCTTGGTAGAGGCCCACGCCCCTGCCAGGCCCTTCCCCCAGCAGCTCCAATACCTAAAGCCAGTCCCCATCCACCACAAGGAGCTCACGTGACAAAGCCTGTGTCTGCCTGCTACCCTAGGCTGGCAAGTGGAGGACCCGAATTCAGTCTCTAGCCTGGAAAAGTCAAAACCCACTGAAACCATGTCCCCCTCTTCCCCCTCACTGGGTCTCCCTGTTTAATTGCTTACATTAAAAAAACACTGAACCAGGAGGTATGTTTTGAACATGGACACACACACAGGGGAACATAAACACACATGCTGACAGTCCCCAGAGGCCAATGCGACTACCCCACCATTCCCACAGGACAACGAAGCCCCTTTTTCTGCAACCATTTTACAAAACGCAACCCCTTCCCCCTCCCCCTCCCAGCCTTCCCTGCAGCCAGTGTGGAAAAACCAAATAATTAGCCAACCTACCTGTCTATACTCTGGGGCAATCTTACACTCATGGTTTCTCAGTGTCTCCACGGCTCCAGAATCCTGTAGCTTTTGGTGTCTTGATCAGGATGGATTCGCTCACAATTTTTAAGAAAAGTGAGGGAGGCCTCCCAACTTGAAGATTGAATCCTTTTTCTTCCAGCTCTCAGGACCCTGGCAACCTAAGCTCTACTCCACTTCTACCAGTTAACATGGTCTCCTTTCCTACCTCCTTTTCCCCTCTGCCCCCTCCCCCCCAAAAAAAAAACAGAAAGGAAAAGAGGAAAAACTATGACCTTCTTGGAAACCAAAAACCTAACCGCAAATCTCTTCAAGGTTAGCACTACGGGCTAAAAAATGAATCACAGAAAGAATGCGCCTTCAAAATATCAGTCTTTACTGCAACACACAGATAAATACCATCCTTTTAATCCAGTTTTCCCAGCTGTCCTTCTGTTGGCAAGAGAGCCTAAAGCTCCAAAGGGGGAAAAATAATTTTCTGGTCTCCAATGCTTAAAATGACAACAGCAAATATATTTGAGGGCAAGGAGTGGGGGAAAAGGATGAATAAATCCAAAACGGCACCTGGCAAAAAAATCTTCCAGCTGATTTGAACAGTAAAAAAAAAATAATAAATAAAACCATACAATAGTATGTACACGACTCCTTCCAAATCCAGTGCAACCCTGGGAACAAAAATTTGTGGATTTCCTTTAAAAAAAAAAAAAGCTTTTACATGAAAGGTTTTGAAATTCTGAAATGAGCCAATGCACACACAAAAAAAATCACAGCACACCTGAAATGCAACGCTCTGTGCCTTTAAGATTGTAGCATTAACCACAAACCCGAATCTCTGAAAATATCCTCTCCCTTTCTTTTTCCTTTCAACTTGCAGGTTCCTCCACCTAGCCCAGCCTGATTCTCAGACCCAGCCTACGTTCGGCCTTTTTCTCAAAGACAATTTCCTGAGTTAGTTCTGCTGTTTCGCTCCTCCACATCCAGGCTCCGAAAATTTCTGTCGCCTCAGCCTCCATGAAACAGATTTCGCTTCCTCCCGTTCCCCCCCTTCTCTCTCTCCTCTCTCTCTCGCGCCCGGCCAGAAAAACTGCTCCTTATTATTATTCGTTTGGATTATTATTGTGGATTTGAGTTCGGGGTGGGCTGTTCCTCCAGACCAGCCTCCTGGAAAATCCGATCGCCTCGCTTCTCTCGGCCTCTGTTTTTCCTCGCTTTCCGCCCCTTGCCTATTCTCACAGGCAGGAGCCCACCGTGCCTCGCGCAGGACGCCGGCCGGGCCTCCGGCTCCCGGCGCCGCTCGCCCGCTCGCCCCACGCCCGACCGCCGTGCTCCGGCCTCGGCGGCCGCTCGGTACTCCACGCTCGGGCGCAGGCAGGGAAGGCGGCGGCGGCGGCAGGCCGGCACGAGCGGGCGTCCGACTCCCGGCGTCGCGGCCGCGCTCGCCTCCTTCCGGGCCCCTTCCCCCTCGGCTCGCCGCTCGCTCGGGCGCAGGCCCGGCCGGCCGCCCCCTCCCCGCGTCCCTCCCTCCTCCTTCCCCGCGAGCCTTTCTCCTTCCCTCGCTCCGGCGGGGGCGGGGCCGCAGGCTCCGCCTCCTCGCCGCGCCGCCCGCAGCCCGCCGGCCTTTCCCGTCACGCCGCGGCGGCCGGGAGCGGGGGCGGGAAGCTGACCGCCCTTCCCTTCCTGGGGTCCCGCGGCCGCCGCTCCCGCCCGGCCGCCCGCCGCTGGCCAGGCCTCGCTGCGCGCCCTGGCCCCCCGTCCCCGCCGCCCCTCGGCCAGTTCCCTCCGCGGCCCCACAGACGCCGGCCCTGCCCCTCGACGCGGCCTAGCTCGTCCCTCCCGGCTCAGCCGGATTCCGGGCTTGGCCTGGCCCTGCCCGCGGCCACCCCGGCCCCGACCCTGCAAGGCGGTCCCTGCCGCCTTCTCGCCGCCCCCCACCCCGCCCCCTTTTGCCGACTTACGCCGGACCCGAGCTTTGTTTTTTGCCCTTTCGCACGGTGTCGGGAATGGCCTTACCTGCTTGCAGTCACAGGCAACCCTCTCGCTGGCACCACCGCCTCTCGCCCTCTCTCCACTTCCCTAACCTTATTTTTCAAAAATTTGTCGCGGCGCCGTTCCTGGGTGTCAGGAGCGCCTTTAACTGTTTCCTCGTGTTTGGCCCTTCCCGCTGTAACACCCACCGACTGGAGAAAGAGCGGTCCCTGGTCCCCTGGGGCTGGCGTGGGCATCTTAATTCTGGGCTTTGTGGTGTTGCTGCCTTGGGTGCAGAAGCCTTCCCGGGACAATTCTGAGTCGATAACCCACCTTGTAGAATCACATTTCTCAAGTAATAGAGCATTAGTCAGGGTCCTGAGCGTCATGATTACAAATAAAGCTAAAACTTGTCCTTAGGACTGGGAAGTGACCTCCACTTGCCTAGGTAAATGCGATTTTAAAATACAGGCTGTGATGTGTCTGCCTGTGTTCCCTCCTTTTGCCATTCTCTGGATTGTTCTTGGGAGCGCTCTTACATGTAGATGGGAATTTACCACCCAACGCCCGTAAGTTCTGAGTGATCCCCCCACCAGGTTAGAAGGGCTGGGTATGGAAATAGCAGGAAAAAGAAAACTGATAAGCATCTACGACCTACTATGAGTCAGGGGCTCTCCCTAAATTGTATGAAGTAGGGATCTGCCTTCACGCCATCTCTACCAACGGCTGGGCCAGTACTCTGAAGACAAGCAATCTGGCAGTCCAAACTGCAGCTGGCCTCACGGCCCTCCCTCCCCACAACCCCATGATGCCTGCAGGATGGTTTTCTTAAATGTGGGCCCCCGCCCCCATGGTGATAGACCAGTGGTTGCCAGTTTTAAATACCGTCTTCTTAAACATAAATAAATAACGTCTTCTTAATAGATGTACTTTGTGTTCACAATTGCATATATTTTATTACATACCTTCTAAAGCATGCCCTAGTGTCGAAAAATTAAAAGATGGAAATAAAAAATGAATTTCCAGAATCATGATTTGGGGTAAAAGTTAATCATGGCTGTCATAACTGAAAAAAAGATACTTGTCAGAGAAAGGTACCTTCAAACGGAGAAAGTGTGTCCTGGATAGCACTTCCTAAATCAAGACACCAACCCCGTGTAGGTTTTTAATTGAAATTCAACAAGTAAACTTACATATTAAGTCAACAGCCTTTTTTGAACTATAGGAAGGCGTTGCATTTTATTATTTTTAACAAACAGGTGCAAACCCACTAAGAGATTTTGTTTAGGGGCAGGAGTTTGGTGCAGCTATTAGGATGCTGCCTTGGGTTCCAATCCTGGCTCTGCTTCCTACTCCAGCTTCCTGCTAACGCACATCCTGCTGATGCACTAAGGCAGCGGGTAATTGCCCAAATGCTTGGGTCTCTGCCACCAGTGTTGGAAGCCCAGATTGAATTTCAGGCTCCTGGCTTCAGCCTGCCCAGCCCTGGCAGTTATGGGCTTTTGAGGAATGAACTAGCAGTTGGAAGATCCTGTCTGTCTCCCTGTTGCCTTTCAAATACATAAATAAACAAAAACTTTTAAAAAACAGAAAAAAGCATTTCAAAAATTCTGTGTCCTAGTTTTTCAAGTGTGCAGGTTACCTTTTAAAAGGTAATCAAGGGGCGGCACTGTGGCGTAATGGGTAAAACTGCTGTCTGCAGTGTTGGCATCCCCTATGAGTGCTGGTTACTGTCCTGGCTGCTCCACTTCTGATCCAGCTCTCTGCCATGGCCTGGGAAAGTAGTGGAAGATGGCCCAAGTCCTTGGGTCCCTGTACCTGCGTGGGAGACCTGGAAGAAGCTCCTGGCTCCTGGCTTCAGATCGGCGCAGCTCCAGCTGTTGTGACCAATTGGGGGAGTGAACCAGCAGATGGAAGATTCTCCCTCTCTCTCTCTCTCTCTCTCTCTCTCTCTCTTTCTCTCTCTGCCTCTGCCTCTCTATAACTCTTCAAGTAAATGAATAAATCTTAAAAAAAAAAAAAAAAGGTAATTGCCGGCGGCGCTGTGGCTCAATAGGCTAATCTTCCACCTGCGGCGCCGGCACACTGGGTTCTAGTCCCGGTCAGGGCACCGGATTCTGTCCCGGTCGCTCCTCTTCCTGTCCAACTCTCTGCTGTGGCCTGGGGAAGGCCGTGGAGGATGGCCCAGGTCCTTGGCACCTGGCTCCTGGCTTCAGATCAGCGTGGTGCGCCGGCCACAGTGGCCATTGGTGGGGGGGGGGTGAACCAACGGAAAAGGAAGACTTTTCTCTCTGTCTCTCTCACTGTCCACTCTGCCTGTTAAATAAATAAAATAAAATAAAATAGGTAATAAAAAAGTCACAGTATGGGAACCATTTCCAGTTATCCACTTAAAAAATGCCTTCTCCATTACGCATACGTTTCTTTAGAAAAGGAATGGCTTTCTCACCCATTAGTAGACTGTCACCTTTGCCTTGTGGGGACAGATTAGGTGGATTTTTGCTGGGAAGTAAGTGCTAGGCACTGAGATAAAAATGTGCATCTCATCTGTGCTCAACATCTGGGCCTTTCCCAGGAGATTGTCAGGCTGCAGAACCCAAGCCTTTCAGGGTCACGGTTGTTCTCCCTGTCTTTACAAAGGATTGTGAAGTGTGTGGCAATTCACAGGCTTGTTTTCCTCCAGGGGGTGGCATAGACTGGGAAGAAAACCAAACATCAGCTGTGGTCTGTGGTTGTCACCTTTGGTTTCCGGAAACTCCTCACACCCTGCAAGTGACAGATGACCTCTGACATAGTGACTGAGAGTGCCAGGCCATCAGCATTAGCAAAGCTTAGATAACTAGTTTTGCTATAAATACTAATGTGAGCACATTCTTCAATATTTTCCTTAGACACACGAGCGCAACTCCTTGCACACTCCACTTTGAAGACTGTAGGCGTGGCTTCATCAGGATCAAGTTCCCTGAGGTTAGCTGGTCATTTGTGTGAACAGCAAGTCTCACTTCAGAAGACAAAATAGAGCCAGTCATGCCCAAGACAGACAGACGAGATTGTGGGATCTAGAGGCAGCTCTTGACTAATGGAAAGAACACTGCTAGAATAAGGCTCCGAAGAACTGTGTTTGTTCTGGGTTTTACCCCTTTCTAGTCTACAGGTTGTGAGAATTTAGTGAACCTGAGTCTGCTCAGGGAACTATAGAGTGATAGGCAGGGGCCAGCGCTGTGGTGTACCTAGTAAAGCTGCCACCTGCAGTGCCGGCATCCCGTATGGGTGCCAGTTCAAGTCCTGGCTGCTCCACCTCCAATCCTGCTCTCTGCTATGGCCTGGGAAAGCAGTAGAAGATGGTTTAAGTCCTTGGGACCCTGCACCTGTGTGGGAGACCCGGAAGAGTCTTCTGGCTCCTGGCTTTGGGTGGGTACAGTTCCGGCCATTGTGGCCATTTGGGAGAGCGAACCAGTGGATAGAAGCTCTCTATCTCTATCTCTCTGTCTCTTTCTGCCTCTGCCTCTGCCTCTCTGTAACCCTGTTTTTCAAATAAATAAATAAATCTTTTAAAAAAATATGACAGAGTGATAGGCAGAAAAACCAAGATAAATACTGGGAAGTGATACACCAAATCAACACAGTCCTTTTAACTTTCTTCTACAGAACTCTATTGATAGCGCACTCGTTTCCTGTGTACAGCATCCTGTGGGAAACGTAGGGCACTGACACATTTACAGTCAAGGAAGCCACCATGCAGAGAGCTTTGAGGTGATTTACGGTAGATCCCACTGATAGATTGAGGCTCGAATTCACAGCTGGTCATCTTTAAGTAATGAGAAGCAAAGAAAAGGGTGGGTATGGTGAGATTGTATTTGCTGAGGGGGCTTCTAGAAACTGAATCATTGATTGAGTAGCCAAAGAAGAGCCATGGCGAAAAGTGAATGAATTCCAGAGAAGCAACTTCTCATTCATGGACAGACCGCCGCCGCCCAGAGCAGGTGTTTCCTTTAGAGTGATGGACTCCGAGTTGCAGTCATTCTCCTTCCAGGGCGTTGTTAAGGACAAGAGGGCAAAACAGAATTGTCCCTGGAGAGATAGTGCCACCATTTATTGTAGATACTTGACGCCTCTGAAACTTTTATCAGTTGGGCAGATGATGGTGAGAGTTTTCATTAAGGTATGGTTTAGAGCTGAGAGAGGTTTTTTTGTTTTTGTTTTTGTTTTTTAAGATTTATTTTATTTAGGCCGGCACCGTGGCTCACTAGGCTAATCCTCCGCCTTGCGGCGCCGGCACACCGGGTTCTAGTCCCGGTCGGGGCGCCGGATTCTGTCCCGGTTGCCCCTCTTCCAGGCCAGCCCTCTGCTGTGGCCAGGGAGTGCAGTGGAGGATGGCCCAGGTGCTTGGGCCCTGCACCCCATGGGAGACCAGGAAAAGCACCTGGCTCCTGGCTCCTGCCATCGGATCAGCGCGGTGCGCCGGCCGCAGCGCACCGACCGCGGCAGCCATTGGAGGGTGAACCAACGGCAAAGGAAGACCTTTCTCTCTGTCTCTCTCTCTCACTGTCCACTCTGCCTGTCAAA